AAAAAAAAAAAAAAAGAAAAAGAACAGTAGCTTGCCATAAAATAATGAAATACTATATTTTAGCTTGCTTTTGGTATTGTTAATAAAAAATATAGTAACTGTAATATTTTGCAATTAAAATATGTCCATTATTATTGCTTAAACTGACTTTATCTTCTGCAAAAGAGGTACATGCTGTTGTCAAACCATTATTCTCTCTTTTCTATAATTTTTTAACTAATTTTATGGTATTTAAAAAATGAATTTTCAAAAACTATTTGATTTGTACGATTTCCTTATATTTTTTCTATTAGAGCTACAGCCAAAATACAGGCAATAGTTTACCAAAAGTTTTATTTGAGTATAGTCATGAATGTAGGGTCTCTTGCATAGCAATGATGACACCATAAAGTAAGATTTTCAATTTATTTTGTTTCACAGCATTTGAATGTAGACTATATACATAAAACATGCATCAATTTGAACCAAAATGCTGATTTTTAAACACATTGTAACAACTGGTCAACCTCATCTGCCAAAAGTCAGTATCTAACTAACTATGTCTTTCACTTGGAGATGCTACTGGTTTAACATTTTTGAAGATCAGCCATTATGCCAATGATATTGATATGTATTAAAATTTAGTTAATGCCCTGACAGTTATAAATTAAGATCTTTTGAAAGTTAAAAATTGTATATAAAGAAGTAGAAAATTGATGTTTGTAAAGTTCCAGGAACTTAAAGGGAATGTTGTTATGTTGGAAATGTGAATAAAAATGAGCTCAGGTTTGAATTCAAAATTTTGATTTATAAACATAATATAGAAAGGAGCAAAATTGTTTGTAATTCATAAGGAGTTTTCAAATTAATAAGGAAAATATTTTGTTAAAAATTGCCCAAGCCAGTGGTTATCAGCCTCTTTTGCCCTATGCATCCCTTCTCTATCACCAAAAAATCATTCCGTTTTTCCTTTCCCAAACTTGAAAAATATATGCATGAATTTGTTTTGATTTAAATTATTTTGTAATGTGGTTTGTAAATTATAAACAACAAATTGCATGAAAAATGTTGATAAATACCAAAATTGAAATATAAGTAGTTTTTTTTTAAATTTTAACAGCTAAAATAAGAGGCTGACTATATTTCTCCCTTGAAACTATAAAATCCTTACCTGTTTTAGAAAGTAGATGCTATATTGTTCTTAATAAATGAATTTTGTGCTATAATAGACTTTTATGTCACATCTGTATATAAAATTCAGTTTCAGAGTTCATTATAGTTTTGTAAGCATTTTTAATAATTTTGAAACTTATTTGTTCAGGATAGTTTTGTACTTTTCAGCTCTTTTAGTAAATTTGGAACTTATTCATTTAATAAGATAATTACAGTTGTGAACCACTAAATGCTCACTAAATTGTAGTTAAATCCATTCTCCACATTTAATAAAAATTTATTTAACTCTGTAAATGGAATTGCTGGTCATGAGTTTTTTTTCTTTTTTCTTTTTCTTTTTTTTTTTTTCCCACGGTATATAACCCATACTTTAAAATTCGTTTACTTTCTTTAATAATGCAAATATCATCTTGATGAATGCAAGTTTATGAAAAGAGACTAAAATAGTAATTATAAAAATTTAGCTAAAAGAAGCTGTTTAAATACAGATCTTCATGAACAGATTGAAAAGGCTGTACCACTCAGAAGGTTAAATCAATTATTAAATTGGGTGAATTTATCTATATTATATATATATAAAAATTAGTCCAAGATTATAACAATCTCCTGACACTTATGTATGACTCAGTGGTCAACATGTTCATTTTGCATTTCAATGTTTCATGGAATTGCGATCAACTGTTCACTTTCTAAAGCTATGTATTTTTTCCTCCCAAGCAGACTTTATTAGTAATTCATTGTAATTAAAAAAAAAAAAAAACTGAAATTTATTGCTGATTTAGGTAAGAGCTTCCCCCCTTTTTTTGAGCACATTAGGTTATTTATTGTATTTTATATTTTTATTGCATATGTAGGTTTTGAAAATTGTGAGACTTTTGTTTTGACTGTTTATAATTTTGCAGGGGGATTCACATCAGTATTTGTTGGTGTTATGTGTTTACCTTGGCCTATAAGGTACACCTTACTACTGATATATATAACTTTTGCCTTGAAAGCACTGCATGCTGCAGTGTTTGCTGTTGGACCCTGGGAACGTCGGATTAGTTTTGCTGCAATGTTTATTATGCGTTTATGCATTCTGTGTGTACGTTATACACCCTACGGTGGTGGACACCCTGAGGTAAATTTTTGCGTAGTATATCATATTTTTTTACTATGAAGTAAAATTTCATCAGTATTTGTCTATCATATTTTTGAATTTCATAGTCAAATTTTCCTATTATATTTAATTACTTTTGTCCATAAAGTGTGCTGCCTCTTTAAATTAAGGAAAATGCTAGGTAATTGTATCTTACCTGCTATTGGGAATTTAAGCTGGTGACAAATGCTTACCTCTTCATTATAACCATGTCTGTGTGAAGCACATGGTGATTCTTGTTACATTAACTTCAAAATGTCTTTTATTTTCATTGTGTGCCTCTAGTATTTAACATCCTACGAAAAACCTTTGAGCCTTTTAGAATTATAAAGTACTGTTTAAAAATGAATACTGTTTTAAGTCCTATATGGTGAAATATATAAAGCATGGGTTGAAAGAGCAACACTAAAAAGTCAGAAAGTAAAAGCAAAAAGAGCAGGAAATTCACTGAAAAAAAACTGAATTTTATTCCAGCCAACTGTGTAATATATTTATTATTACCGTAAACAACTAATTTCAGTTGAATTTTGCCAAACCAAATCATATATGCAAGGGTGAATGTAAAACTGCAATGAAGTGAAATAATTATATTTCAGCAGTTTATGTTACTGAAATAAAAGAACCAGCCTCCGGGATCTAAATTTTTACCAGCTCGGTGCAACTGAAGTAAATTATCATTGAAGTAGCTGGTAGTAGGAAAGCACCAACTGAAATAGCTGATAGCAGATAAGAAATATGTACCAAGTATGATTATGTACTTCTTTCCTTGGTGGGGGGTGTATTTATTTTTCCCCACTAGAGGAAATGATTCTGTGGTAGTTTTATTTACTTGATTTGAGAGAAATGTTAATTAATTTCAGGATATTTTTTTACTAATGAATTCTTGAATTAAGAATAAGATTAGTTTTTATTTAGAAATATAGGAACAAATTTTATTAAAATTTTGAAGTGACTGTAAAGATCTATGTGTGAATCAAAGAGTAATTTAAATTTTTGAAATAGCATGAATACTTTACATTTTGATGATGTGTTGCAATATATTTAATCACTTTCAAAAACTATATAAAGTAATATCAGTTGACCTACAAATAAGATAGCAAAAGATGACAAAGAGAAAGTATGATATATTGCTGAATGATATATCATTCAGCAATATATCATACTTTCTCTTTGTTGATACATGAATATTGTTGATACATTTCAACATTTTAATAGGGAAGATGATTTTGTAATTCCATCTACTTGCTAATTCGAATGTAATTTAGTCTGCTGAGCTAAAAAGTACTGTAGGTCTATTTCGGAAAATAAAATAAAGCTATGCATCAATTTTGAACTGCAAAAGTTATGCCTTTTTCCCTGTGATAAATTAAATCATTTTCTTTGTTGGGTGCCATTGAACTTTTGTTGAAAAAAAGCAATTTTTGCATAAAAAGATATTCTGCTTATTATTGTTATATAACTTACATTAGAAAATTATGATAGAAAAGATAAAATATTAAATACATACTTATAGTTGAGTATAATAATAATAACTGAAATAACAAAGCATGTTAAAAACCATTACATAATAGCTGAAAAATTTATATTTAGAAAAGTAGCATAAATTATAACACAATTATACTACCAAGTTATGACAGATTGTTGTTGTCTTGTCCGTAAATTTCATGGAAGAACGGTAGCCAGAGCCTCAAGCAGGTTGGACTTTTATTTCCAAACCAAGCCCTTTGATACTGGAGTAGGCTCCCCAACCACTATACTATCTAGGCAGCATTATGACAGGTGAAGGAATTAAATAATGCAGTGAATGTACATTTTCTGAATTATATATAGTGCATCAGTTAAGATATACTAGTGTAAAAATAATAAATAATAGTAAACATATTGTTCAACACAGGATAATAATATAAAATTATTGAATTATTGTAAAATTATTAAATAATAATAACACTAATATTAAAATGTAAATAATAATGCTTAAGAAATAGTAATGAAAAATAATGAAATACATCAATAGGCTATTAAAAAGTATATAAATATATATGATAGATGCAATAGATGCTATGTTCATAATATGTGAGCCATGTTCTTAATGCATAGGGAATGTATTTAAAAAAAAAAAAAAAAAAAAAAAAACTGTACTGTAAACATATTGTCATTTAATGAAATTTTTGTTATGCTATGCAATCTTTGATAGTATTATTTGTCTTCAAAGCATATTTGATACTGGTTTTTTGTCAGTCATGGAAAATATTGTTTCTTGTACTATCAGTTATTAGGCAATCTGTAGTATAATGATAAGGATATACTTCTTTATTAATTTTGCTGCAGCTGCACTGGTTAAACAATTTATCCTTGTTAAATTTTTTTAAAGTTTTCGTAAAGCTGTCATTGTTAATCATCCTATATTTGCGCCTTCCCATTAGGACTGACATTCATCTATTATTTTTCACTTTATTTCAGTTTTAATGTTTTTTCTGAAATGGATACAACAACATATGGTAGCTCTTATTTTGCTGCAGTATCAGCAGTCTAATTGCTATATATGTATTTTTCATCCAATCTACTTCAGTTTTCTTTTACAGGTTTTCTAGGCCATTGAATTCTAAAATATTTGCTGTTTTTATGCAACATCGGAATTCACAAAAAATTCACACAAAATTCCTTTTCCTGTTTTCTTGTGTCATATACACTTGACACTTCAATGCCATGCTCTTCACATAATTTTGAGATGGATATACTTTTATGCATTTTTTTGCAGCAATTCCACTTTTTGTTTAATGAGCATCGAAACATGCTTTCACTTTGCAGCTCCAGAATTAGAAACTCTTTTAGACATTATTGAAAGTTGAAACTTTAATTTTGATCAAATTATTGTAATAAAAAGAGCCTTCAAAAATAATTAAAAGATCAAATAAATAAAGGAAGTTAAGGAACAGTGCAGTCTGCTATACTGAAATTCTTTGGAATCAGTAAAGTATAATTTTAGCCTAGCTTAATAACATCCATTATACATTATTGGCTATGTATCATGAGATTGGGGATGAAAGACAAATTGTTCCGCTAAATTTTGTCTTGCTTCTATCATATACTGAGACAATTTAGCCTGATTGTATTAGTTTAGCAATTTATTATGCTTACATCTATTTCTTGCACATGCTTAAGGCTTATTTGAATTCTGAGTAATAAATTCCCACATATACTTGAGGCTTATTGAGGGCCGGCACGAGATATCTTACCGCCTGATACATTCTCGGCGAGTCCTAAATTCTGCTGTCAAGTGCCTCCTTAAGTTCTAAATTTTTGCCGCCCCTAAATTTTGGATTCCAGTGCTTTCCCCAAGTTCTAAAAATACACTCTTTTGCAAAAAAATCGAAGCACCATGAAGGAAGTAGTTGTTTTTGATGAAATTCCATGTGTGTATGGCTCATACTCAAATAATAAAATGATTAAAAAATCAAGGTCATAGTACCTGTTCAGGGCTACAATCACCTATTGAGTGTTCAAATTGGTAGTTGGTCAAACTGCCCCTGGTGGCAATGCGTGCTTGAATTCATCGAAGCAAGGAGGCAGAGGCTAATGTCGACTGTTGACACATTCTGCCATGCATTCATCAGTCGCTCCAGATCTGCGATATTTTGATGCCCGAATCTGGCAGCCTACTGCCCCAGACGTGCTCAATTGGTGAAATGGTGACCAGGACCAAGGAGACTCTCAACGCACGGAGACATCCAGCGTATGTATGTGAGGCCTGCATTATTCTGGTTGGAAAATGGCCCCAGGATGACGTGCCATGAAGAATAATGCAACCAGCCACAGAATGGCATTTACATATCGTTGAGCTGTTAAAAATGTACGGAGGATTACTAAAGATGACCTGCTGTCATAAGAAATAGCGCTCCACACCATCACACCAGGGGTTATGGCTGTATGCCTTTGTAAAACAAAGGCTGACTGAGACCGCTGGCCCCATCCTCTCCAGACACGAACGCGGTGGTCATATGCTTCAAAAGTGAAGCGGGAGTCATCGCTGAACACTATACAATGCCAGTCTGATGACAGCTATGATGATCGACTGCGACACCGCTCCAGACGACTCCGCCGATGGTGTGGGGTCAAAGACAAACGTCTTTAAGGCCTCTGTGAGCGTGTGTAACCCTGCCTCAGATAGGCGGCGGGTGATGGTGGACGGTGCCACGGGAGGTATAGACATGGCTGTAGTGCGTTAAATAGTTGACAATGATACCATTGGAGTGGTTCAGGCCTGGCGAACAATCATCCTATTTTGCCTCACATACAAATGTTCCTTGGCCTTCCAGAGCCTTCATTTCATCGGCAATTTCCTTGTAGCAACCATTGCTGGCAACGTCTTTGCACAGCAGTGTCTGTACGCTGCAGATGGCAGCCTATTGCTCAGTATGAGCACCCAGCTTCGCGCAACCCTACAATGCGACCATGTTCGAAGTTGTTTAGTTGTCTGTAAGGTTTTTGATATTGTCGTAATGGCATCTTTAGTTGCTTCTTTATGGAATTGCAATGGTAGCAACAAAAAAAGATAAATTTTCCGCCTCTGTTTATACTTTGCGAATTGTTCACTGGAAATGCACTCTATGATCGCAGTTCCTGTTCATTTGCCTTAAAACTTTGATCATTTGCATGTTCGATCAAGATGTTTTTGCATACCAAATTTCATTACGAACGCAAAAGTCCTTCTTGGTGCTTCGTTTTTTTGCAAAAGACTTTATTTTTACCCTTTAATTTTGTTGCTCAGTGCTTCTCCAAGCTCCAGAAATCTTGTCTTTCCTAAGTTCTGCCGCCCGGTGCGACCATATGAGCTCTGGCACCAGTTCTGGGTTTATATGAAAAACAAATCAGTTATTCTTAATTCAAATAGCACTAAATGTAATCGTTTGGTCTATGAGTATCATTAAAAAAATCTATTTTAGTATATGGAAAGAAATTTTTCCTTTTCGATATTTCTTAATGCATTTAATTTAAATCTGTAATCAATGCCAAGCAGAATGTCAACATAAAAGGTTACCATAACCTTTGTATTAATATTAAATAAAAATTGGGGGGCATCTCTGCATGAGTCATTGCTCAAGTTGTCATGTATTGATCAGCCTGCAGTGATGAAAGCAAAATGTAATAAATAATGATTCACCAGTTTGGTATCAGGGATATAAAATATTAGTAGGTGTATAATCAATGTTGTTTCTATCTAGAATGTTTTGGTTTGAGATATATGCCAGGCAGATATGCAGCTATGGAGCCAAATTATCGATCACTTACATTTATACTAAATTATTGTTTCTTCAATAACGAAGTATTTATTTAGTGCCAAAGATAAATTAAGAATCGAGACGCTCGACATGTTTTATCTATGGAGGAAAAAATCAAATGCACATGTGTAAAGCATTTTAAAAAAAAGTTGTTGGCGGGTTTGAGGTCTGGATTTTTGATGATTCCAGATATTGGCTCTGGTGCCGGTTCTGGGTTTACATGAAAAATAAATTAGTTATTCATAGTTCAAATAGCACTAAATGTATTGTTTGGTCTATGAGTATCATTAACAAAATCTATTTTAGCATATGGAAAGAAATTTTTGTTAAATATTTCCTTGTTGAAATTTCTTAGCACATTTAACTTAAATCTGTAATCATTGCCAAGTGGAATATCAACATAAAAGGTTACTGTAATCTTTGTAGTAATACAAAAAAATACTAATATTTAAAAAAAAATGTTTGGGCATCATTGCATGAGTCATTTCTTAAGTTGTCATGCATTGATAAATATGCAGTGATGAAAGCAAAATGTAATAAATAATGATTCGCCAAGTTGGCATCAGGGATATAAAATATTAGTAGGTATATAATCAACGATGTTTCTATCTAGAATGTTTCGGTTTGAAATGTATGCCAGGCAGATATGCAGCTACAGAGCCAAATTATCTATTACTTACATTTATACTAAATTATTGTTTCTTCAATAAGGAAGTATTTATTTAGTGCCAAAGATAAATTAAGAATCGAGACTCTCCACGTGTTTTATCTATGGAGGAAAAAATCAAATGCACATTTGTAAAAAAAAAAAAGTTGTTGGCGGATTTGAGGTCTGGATTTTAGGTGATTCCAGATATTGGCTCTGGTGCCGGTTCTGGGTTTATAGGAAAAATAAATTAGTTATTCATAGTTCAAATAGCACTAAATGTAATTGTTTGGTCTATGAGTATCATTAACAAAATCTATTTTAGCATATGGAAAGAAATTTTTGTTAAATATTTCCTTGTTGAAATTTCTTAGCACATTTAACTTAAATCTGTAATCATTGCCAAGTGGAATATCAACATAAAAGGTTACTGTAATCTTTGTAGTAATACAAAAAATTACTAATATTAAAAAAAAAAAAAAATGTTTGGGCATCACTGCATGAATCATTTCTTAAGTTGTCATGCATTGATAAATATGCGGTGATGAAAGCAAAATGTAATAAATAATGATTCGCCAAGTTGGCATCAGGGATATAAAATATTAGTAGGTATATAATCAACGATGTTTTTATCTAGAATGTTTCGGTTTGAAATGTATGCCAGGCAGATACGCAGCTACAGAGCCAAATTATCGATCACTTACATTTATACTAAATTATTGTTTCTTCAATAACAAAGTATTTATTTAGTGCCAAAGATAAATTAAGAATCGAGACTCTCCACATGTTTTATCTATGGAGGAAAAAATCAAATGCACATGTGTAAAGCATTTAAAAAAAAGTTGTTGGCGGTTTTGAAGTCCGGATTTTAGATGATTCCGGATATTGGACGTCCGGATATCAGACTTTGTACTGTATATATCCTAAGTCACACTTTTGAGACATGAAAAATGCAATTTGAATTTCGTCAATCGGCCCAGTAGAATGGGAGATATAGAACTGTCTCTTTCTTTTTTTTTTTTTTTTTTTGTTCGCAGTGTACATACTATTTCTAAAATTAAATCATTGGTAACAAGAGAAAATCTGCCCATGTGGAAATGAATACATCTGTAGTCTTTAAATAAATATGTAGCAACAGTAAGTAAAATAATAAAAAAAATATTTAATTCTTATTACTTGGCTCAATGTAGAATAACTGGTAGAAAACATTATAAAAATTGTTTAGCAGGAAATATATGTAAATGCACTGTGACCATTGAATGAAGCATCGGTTTATCTAAATGATTACAGCAAAAAGATCTATTTATTATTGAAAATGAAAAAAATAAAAAAAATGTACAAATCTGATTCTGCAATGCAAAGAAAGTATCAGTAAGGAGTTTGTGATTATTGCAGGATTTTTTTATAATGGGAAATTAAAAATAAAAAGAGGGGGTACATTAAAAAAAAGTCAACACACTATCAAGAGAAAGTTTTATGTCCAATATTTAAAAAATAAATTCTGTTTCTTTATCTCAATGACTTTCAAAGAGTGAAAATTCATCAAGACAAAGCAACAAGTCATACTTTGAAAAAACTGGCTCAGGTATTGCATATATACCTTTTCAACATATTCCTACAAAGTCCCCTGACATTTCTTTTATGGATTATTGTGGCTTTGGATACTTGAAAAGAACTCTTTCTAAGTGCAAGCCCACCATGATTGATGGACTCTGGAAAGTAGTGGAAGAGGAATGGAAATTAGTACCTCTTCAAATTTTGTGAAAAGCTCTTCTGGATCATGGAAATCATGATCTAGAAGGCTATCAGTCAGATACAGCAAAAAAAAAAAAAAAAAAAAAAATCCAGCTTTTTTTATCCAGGCTATCAGATCGAGCATTAAAAAAGTACCTTTTACATTTTCAACACTAAACGGCCCCAGATTTGTTCTAAAAAATATGCGAATACCTACTGTATTTTTGTCATATTTTCTATCGTCCTTCTAAAACGAATGTTACAGTTTTTTTTATTTGTGAATACACTTTTGCTATATTTATTTCTGTTTTGTATTCTGCTCTATATTCTTTTATACATTATTTCCTCTCTCTCTTTTTGATTCCAGAAACATTTTGTACTTTAGAGCGTAAACTCTTTCCTCTTGAGTGAAAAGTCAAACATTCCATTAAGGAAGTTGTCTAATTTGGTAGAAGTATCAGAGTATATTTGAGTTAGTTTTTCAGTTAATTTTTTAATTAATTTTATCTACATTTTGATAGCATAGTAATGGTAAATATATATATATATTATTTAAATGTATAAATGTAGTGAGAAAAATTGTGTAATTTAAAACAGGAGGCTGAAATCACTATTTAACTCAAGTTTTGACCACACTGAATTAAAAATAATTGTAATCACAGAATTTGGGTATAACTGAAATGTGTCGGTGTTGGTTCTGAACAGGATTAAATTGATCCATGAAGAATTTCTTGATTGTGAAAAAAGTAAAAGTGCCATGTGGATCATTACATACAATGTTTCCAGATGAGATAATAAAATTGGCAACTTAACTCCCTTCTGATATGTAAAGTTTCTTCCGCTTAAGGTATGTTAAGTGTGATAAAGTCTTCTTTATCTGTATACAGTCAAAGTTTTCTGTAATTTGGATCATTTCATCCAATATGCGATCAATTTCACATGAGGGAAAACAATAGCAGGAGGAGAGTTAAGTATGGGTTACTATCCCAACCAGTAGCAATTGATAGAGTGATTGGCGAAAATTGAAAACTGAAAGGTCTTTATTACAGTTTATAATTTCCAACTTTATTTAATCAGTACTTTTTATTTTTCTTCCCGCTTTTTAAGGGTGGATTTTTATCAGGGCTGTGGAGTCAGAGTCATGGAGTCGTAATTAGAGTTGGGCAGATTTTGGGGTAAAAGGAATCAAAGCTGGAGTTGCTAAAAACAGGTCGACTCCAGTTTTTGTTGGACAGTTTGAATTTGAAATGGAATTAAAGTGAAATGAAAAAAATAATGAAAAGCTAAGTAATTATTTTTATTTATGGACTATATACATTAATAAATAGTTATTTTCTATTTTATTGACATATTAATAAATAAATATAAGGGAAGAGGATGAATGTGATATTTGCCATTAGTGATTAAACTGATTCATTTAATTATTTCATTTAGTTACAAATTTCAGTGGTAAATTTAGGTAAGCAGCAATAGCAGCAGGAACTTCCAAAATTGATGCCATTCCTAGGAAGCGTGTGTGTGTGTGTGTGTGATTATGGCAAAGCCTCGAGGGCTATCTGCCTAACAGGAGGGATGCCTTCGTGGAGGACTTTCTAAGGGAAACTGGCTCGTATACACGTTACACATGGGGAAAACCACGAAAACGCCCATGCAGCCAGCCCATTCGCGGGATTCGAAACTCGGACCGAACTACCAGTGTTCAGCGACTTTACCGCTTGGCCGCTGGTGGGCCCATTCCTAGGAAGCAAGGAGGAAAATGAGAAATTATTGATCAAAACCATAGATGATTACAGGAATGCTACAAAACTGCTGAAAGAAAGGAACATACCATTCCATACTTTCCAATTGAATGCGGAAAAACCACTGAAAGTAATGTTGAAGAACATCCCGGATAATGTAACTGAAGAAGCGATATTCAAGGATCTAGAAAGAAGGAAGTTTCTGATCTTGAAACTAAAACAGTTCCAAAGAAGTAAAAAAGCATAATTCAGAAAAACTGCCCATCTTCTTGTTGGAGCTTGAGAAAAAGAAATCAGGATATGCCGTACACAACCTGAACTGTGTGTTCAGTGTTAACATCAGAATAGAAAAGTTTGCACCGAAAAAGCGACATATTCAGTGTGTTATATTTGCCAAGATTGGGGACACAAGCAGCAGTTATGCACCAATGCAGAGAGGTGCTCCAAATGTGGAAAAAAACACAGAAGCAATCAGTGTGACCTGAAACAAGACACAGAACCAACATGCATTTTTTGCCAAGAAAAACACGTTTGCAGTTATTGTATTTGCGGGGAGTATAAGAAGAAATTTGAAAGAAGGATCCCACGAAAGACGATTCCACCGCCTAAAAAAGCAGACTTCCCAAAACTTATTCAGGCTGAAGTAGACAGAAATCATGAAAACCCCACCAAACCTCTTTACAGCGAGAAGTTGCAGAAGAAACTGAAGCCCCCCCCCAGCAGAAGCAAGAGAAGCTTTGGACTGGCTTAATGACTGGAAAGTTAATAGTTTCCTTAAAACTGTTATTTTGCAAATAGAAAAGTTAAGATCGGAAAAGACGACAGCAAAAAAATTATCAGCAGGTTTCCAAACTGCGATGACACTAATGAATATTACAGAATCAGATGATCAAGTTGCTGATCAAAGAACTTGGACCCCGATTGGACTTCGAATGACTACCTTGCACCTACCATGATGGCCTGCTAATGCAAAGACCTTCCAACATTTAACATCTCACATAGATCGTATGCTCTGCATATTTGTGTTTTTCACATTCGGGTGGTGCCATATAAATTTACATGTCCTTATTTTACTCACAACCGCGAATGGCCGTTCTTGATACAGCAACTTAGATCGATCAGGTTTAAACTCTTAGAAGTTGATGCCTGTAACGAAAGTAAAGCATAAGCATAAAAAAGTTACAATCTGAAGAATTGACAGGAGGTGAGAATGGAAGAATGTGATGTTTATTTTTTCTGAACTGGAGGGTTTACTGCAGAAGAAATCATTCCTTCAATGAAGAAAAGGGAAACTAGCTTGCTAGATGATGAGATCTTACTGGGTTCAATATATGTAGATCCGAAACACCGAATTTTCTTGGATGATGAACAAATTAAAAGAGCAAAGAAAGCCATCTATAAACTTTCATTAAGAATGAAATTATTCTCAGAACAATTGGAAATTTGAATCAGGACAGTCAAACTGCAGACATTGCAATTGAGTCTCTATTATCCTCTTCCAGTGATGAATTAGATTTTGAGAAATATTTTTGGATAATATTGAAAAGGCTAAGGCAAAGAAAGCTGATAAAAATAAAGAAAAAAGAGCCTTTAGATATAAAAATGAAAAAATACAAACAAGATTTTTACATGGCCTTTGAGAGGCCTTTGAATAAATAGAGAAATATGATTGTGCTTGCAAAACACCTCTTTTGGAACTTATAAAAATCTATCCTGAAAAGTTAAAAAGAAGTAGCCCTAACAGTAACAGCTCTTCCTTCCACTCAAGTCAGTGTGGAAAGACTCTTCTTAGCTCTGAAGTTTATCAAATCGGATCTATGGCCCTCCAACAAAGAAGATCTTGCCGAAGCTATACTGTTTCTTAGAAATAACTAATGCCAATTTTTCCATTTCATAAATAAATGCTAATTAAAATAAATAATCTGCTATGCCATCAATTTTTTTTTGTAGCATCTGTTACTTCTTTTATATTAAAAATATAAGCTGTAACCCATATATATATGTTTACATACAGCCACATATATATATATATATGGGAGTCAGAGTCTTTAAAATTCCAGGAGTCAGAGTCGGAGCCGGTCGTTTTCTCTACTGACTCTATAGCTCTGATTTTTATCATGTAAACAGTCTCTGATTTCACTCATGACATCTGAAGTCATAAATATAAGTCAATAGGGGAAATATAGAAATTATTCTTCATTGTGTATATACATGCCATATCAGCTTTTTTATCAGTCATTTTAATATTCATTTGTCTGGTTGCACATCTTGAGTGATAGATAGTAATTTTATACACTTTATTCTTATTAGATGAATGAATCATAGTTTATTTTCTTGCTTAAAATATCTGGCATAACCTGCACAGTTTTAGCTAGTTTCATGCTTTGTATCTGGCTTTAGGACTAACTTTGTCTTGTCGCAATTTATTTATTTGGTATTCTGTACTCATGCAGTCATTCCTGTAATACCTCTATACTTGTGCAGCATTCCTTTCATATCTGCCACATCTTGAGTTATTGAGGTGAGTGTATAGAATATATATATATATATATATATATTTGCATCTCACCAAAACCATATTAGGAATAAATTTGAACTATTTCTGTACTGTGTAATAGAATTGGGGGTTTAAGAGTAAGTGAATTTTTCTTAACTTCCATTAGTTCTTTGACACTAGAATTACGGTGGTCTTCGTATACCTAGAATTACGGCGGGTGTCATTTTGACCCCTTGATAAGATATCTGCATATTTCCCTATATGGTATAATGTATTTGTGAAAAAGAAATTAAAAGTATTTTAAAATAATTTTTTTTTGCTATATAAAGAGTACACAGAAATAGAAATATATAGAAATATTTTATTTACAGATAATATATTAGTCAGCACAGCAGTTAGCTTATACACTTATCATTCTGATTTTTTGTGTACAATATCTGCATACATATTTATTACAGTTGTTGCAAATATTAGAAGTTTTGTTACCTTTGCATTTCCTTACTTGACATTTCTTCTTTCTTTTTGATTCTATTGAATCTTGTCCATACACAAAGCCACTTGAAGAGAGAACAAATTTGTTTTTAAGTAGATATGTATTCTTCTCCTAGTTCTTCTGCCAAACGGAATAGAAAATTCCTTCTGCTGATATTTTCTTTTGTAACTTCCTTGTACAGAATCCCCGCATTTATGCCTGCTAAGTCCAAAATATTGTAGAATACACGTACTGGCCAACGGCATGATGGTGCTTTCACAGAGTACTTTCTTGCCATTTAATCCAAAGCATCTAACCTGAATTTTGTAGAATTGTAAAACTGTAATTACACTGGTGTCCAAAAGTTAAGCATAAATTGTAAAATGTGAAAAACATGGAGTAAATATTCATAAAATTATTCCAAATTTCTTGCGGATAGTAATTGGGTGAAGAAGAAACATTGGGTTTATGCAAAACTTTTCAGTCGACTACATCCTGCGCGAAACACCTGCACATGTCGGAACTCAGAGAAACCAATTCACGCAGCATAGGCAGTTCAGACAAGTTTCAGGCAACTGCTGTGAGAAAGAACGTTGTTAACCATCAAACAAGGTGAATGATGGCACAAAGACGCCAATTGGAGATGTTTGTGAAAGCAAGAATCTTTGGAATGCTGGAATCCAGACGATCACAAACCAAAAGTGTCTCGAATTCTGAATGTGAAGCAGTCTGTGATCTCAAGACTGTGGCAGAGGTTTGAAAGAATGAGAAATGTTACCTGACGACCAGTATCAGGTCGACCAAGATTCACAACCCCTCGCCAAGACCAATATCTGGTAATAAGTGTGCGACGTCAGAGGGGCAGTACTGCCAGAGCACTGGGTTCGGCGCTCACAGTAGCCACAGGAATACGAATTTCGAGACAAACAGTTTACAGGAGACTCAATCATGCTGGCCTGTATGCCAGAAGACCAGCAATTTGCGTTCCCCTCACGTCTGCACAGAAACGCGCTCGTTTGAACTGGAGTTTGAAACATCAACAATGGAGTGTGGGAGAGTGGGCCAGTGTGATGTTTAGTGACAAGTCCCAGTTTAGTCTGAGTTCTGATTCTCGTCGGGTAATGATATGGAGAGAACGTAGAACACGTTTTGAACCAAGAAACATATCGGAAAGACATCATTTTCCATCAATGGGAATAATGGTATGGGCAGGCATCATGATGGATGGCCGCACAGATCTCCATTTCTTTGACTTGGGGTCTGTGACTGGTCAAAGTTACAGAGACGAAGTTCTTGAGCCTTATGTTCGCTTGTTTCGAGGTGCTGTCAGTTCTGACTTCATATTCATGGATGATAATGCTCCATGTCACCGAGAAGTGCTGGTTGATGACTTCCTTGAAACGGAAAACATCCAGCGCATGTCGTGGCCTGTGAACTCGGACACCAGTGTACAACAGGAACCTCTTTTCATTAGATTCAAATTCAACTGTTGAATGGAGTGTGCGTAACAAAATTACGGTTTTGTTCCTTTTACCTTGATATGATGTGTTATATAGTCGTGTTTCGTCACAACTGAAGAAAAATGTTTGTTTCTTACATTTTTGAAACTAGAGGTAATTTCTCTTTTTGCACTATTTACTGTTCCAACATGACTCAATCCTTTTGATTTTAGGGATTTCACAAGTTTTACTGTTGTAAAGAAACTGTCTGTAGTTATATTTCGGCCAGTATTTTTGTAAGGATCAACTAAACGATTTACTACGTTCTCTCCTAGACTTTGATCACTTGGTCTCATTTCATCTTTTCCTAAATATGGAAATCCGTTTAATAAGTATTTTGTCTTAACGTCTACTAGCCAAAATTTTATTCTGAATTTATCGGGCTTGTTAGGCATATACTGCAAAAAACGGCATCTTGTTTTATAGGGAGTAACTGTTCATCAATCGTAATGTATTCATTTGGTTTGTAGCGAAGCTTACAGTTTTCTACAAATGTATTCCATACCTCAGATATTAGTGCAAATTTATGGCACTGCAAACGTGAAGACCTTGTTAGTTTATTATGAAATTGAAGAAGTTTCATAATTTCCAGAAAACTATCTCTACTTATAGTTTCATGAAAAAACTTTGGTCCCCAAGTTTGACCACAAACTAAGAATTGGTAAGCCTTTGGTGGCTAATGCCCCCCTTACGTACAACAACACTGTGAATGCTTCCAGTTCTGCTAATAAAATAGTGAAAGAGTCATTATGAGGTTAACGCTTTGCTTCAGCATCAGTACACTCCTTTATGACGCATAAAATTTTTTCATTTATTATTAACTTCCATGCACTAAGAGTGCACTAACTATCTGATGGACCAGAACAAATGTGACGTTTAGCATAGGATGTCGGTCCTACATTTTCTTCCAAGGGTCGCCGGCCAGAAGTATTTGAAGTATTTTCTACTTTCCATACAGTTTCATCACTAGCAATTTCTTTACAAGTGTTAGTCTGAATTACGTTGAATTTCATATTCCCTTTTGAGCATCTACTAGTTCCCGCATTGGCATTCTTAGGTATGACAGAATTTGAACTCGTAGAAACAAATCCATTTGTACTTTCACTTGAGCTGGAGGATGATATTGCATGATTACTCTCTATAATAAATTCAGAATCACAAGATGTTTCATCTCCATCTTTATCTGTAGAATTATTTTTGATTTCAGAACCGGAATCGGCATCAGATAGTTCTTGCATCAGTTTCATGATTTCTTCATGCTTTAGTCCTTTTCTAGGTGCCATTAGTATGTCAGTATAATAAATTCATGTAAATAGAATAAAATTTTCCACTAAAACTTGTTATGAATAATAAACAAATTATCTACGAAAATCTCTTTTCTCTGTTTTCTTTCCACAAAGAAAAGTATTGCACATATTTCAAATTATCTGACTGGCAGATGGGAAACTATGCAGACCCCCATATTCTTTTCCTTTGTTTATATTTTGTTTAGCAGGTGCAAATAAAAATAGTTTACAGAAGTAACAGTGTTCAGATAATACAATGGAATGTATTCACATTTCTTTTCTCTCAAAGGGGTCAAAATGACACCTGCCGTATTTCTAGGTATAATCATTTGTTAGGGCTAAAATAAGAATATGATTTTCTTGAAATCTTTACTGTTTCGTAAATCGCAATGATTTAGGAAAAGTCGAGAAAAGATTAAGATATTTGCGAAAAAGAAGAACAGCTGTCAGAGATAAAAGTTCGCTAGGTGTAAAAATGACCCCTTCCGTAATTCTAATGTTAAATCATATGAGGTCTGTGAATACTCTGCTTTGCTTTGATCCAAATTTTTGCTCCAGCTCATCTGCTTGAAGATTCATATTATGAATTTCAATAATTTTATTTAATTCTTTCTTCTCTATGGAATCCTTAACACTATTATAATTTCTTCTTTTATCTTTTTAGGGTTTATTGTTTTCCTTTCTTGCTTTAATTTTCTGTAGATAATTCCATTACTTTCAGTGTCCCTGTCTTGTACTATTTGGATGAGAGTACTACTCTTTTGGACTTTTCAAATTATTTTTATCCTGGTTTTTACATTTCTTGAATTCAAACCTTTGTGTATGTAAAATTTGCCTACATTTTGCATAACTGCATTTCAGCCCATAGTTTCTAGGAATATGTGACCTTTAGAATTTTATTATTTTATGATATTTTGCTGAATATATTTTGAAATTTTTGAAAGCTGTTTCTTATACTGTTGTCTATGTTCTGACTACTAATTTCAGAAAAATTAAGCGGTATTCCAATTCATATGCCAAATATTTAACTTGCATAAGAGAATTCTCACTCAAAGTGATGCTTTTGTAATCTGTAGTGTCATTTGATTCAGCACCTACCATCTCTCTGGTACTTGAGATTTAAATGATTTTGTAATGATGATTAACCTAATATGATGGCAAACAAATCATGGCATAACTTTGGAACAGATTTTTAATTACCAAAAATATTCATATAGAGTTTCTTTTTTCTGCATTTTATGTTTTGATAATAATTCATGTAAACTTTGGAACAGATTTTTAATTACCAAAAATATTCATATAGAGTTTCTTTTTTATGCATTTTATGTTTTGATAATAATTCATGTAACTGAGCATAGTTATATTGAACATCATATTCATTTTAAATGCATTTCATGAATTAATTTTTGTTAATTCCTCAAAAAGAAATAACTTTATTCCAGTTAAAGATTTTCCAGTTAAAGATCTATTCTAGTTCCAGTTATTCCAGTTAAAGATCTTTTGGCGAATGTAAATTTCTGTAATTCATTTAGTTTTAACAAATTAGATACATATTTTTTGATAAGTTTTCAATGAATTCGTCAGCCGAATTATATGTGCGCGGGTGTATTTCCGTTTTACACAAGTCGGCTTCTTTGGAGGTTAGAGATCACACTGTCCAGCTGCTTTTTCCTCTTTTTGCGGGGGTTGAAAACACGTGTTTTGCTTGTTCAGAGGCAAATAGCTCTAAGGGGTGGCGATTTTTGACAGATTTATAGGTTGGAAACATTCTTCTGTTGCGTGGGAAAGAAAGGGTCTGTCATCTTGTAGAAAGTGCTGGATTTCTGAGAATCTTAGAGGCTATTTATTACCTTTTCTCTAAGTGGCCGAGGGAGTCCACGTTTCCTTAAGATTGGTTAAATTTTTTAGTGTTGTTTGAGCCAATAGTGATTTTGAGGCATTTCTTGGTGAGTGTAAACCGAGTTTTCTTAAGTCGTTGCAAAAAAAAGCAGGGTTATTTTTAGACTGAAAGAGACCTTTTAGCAGATTTTTTTTGGAGCCTTAGCAGGTTTGCTTCTTTGACGGCGGCCCCTTAGGGGCCGGCCGCAATCAGTGAGGTGTTGGGATGGAGCGGAGGGAAAATGCGGCGGCTCTTCAAGGGTCGACTGCGGTTTACAGTTAAGCTGTTTATCTGCAAGATTCTGGTTACGGAGTGTCTGAGATAGTGCGGGTGCTCGTCATGCTGATGGCAGCAATTCCTGTCTTGCGGCCTATTATTTTCAATTTCGTCGCTGATATTTTTTTTTCCCAATTGTGGAAGAGTCTGAACTGCTCGTGCTGGAGTTTCTATTTTGCTTTGGAAAATATGGAAATATGGGAAGTCGTCATCTCCTGAGATCTGTTGTCTCCAGTTTCGACCTCCTTCTCTTATCTTCAATGGAATTTCGAAATTTTAGGGAAGTTGATTTATTGAGTTAAAACACTGCTTGACGGAAGTTACTGCTCGAACTATGAAAAAGTCCGGTTCCTGAAAACAACGATGAAGTTTTGGTTGTTATGTTTTCGACGTTTCGTGACTGGATCCGGGCAGCTCCCCGAGTCTCTCAGATGTGTACGTGGGTTTTCGTGAGTGACTTTGTTTTCATTGGTGCTTTTCTTTTGATAATTAATCTTTATAAATTTGGAAATGTTTAATACTAAAGCAAGAGCTGTCATGTTTAAGTAGATGAAAATTGAATATTTACTGTTGCTAAATTTCTAGCTGAGAAGATATTTTTTTTAAAAATTAATGTTTAATAGTCAGAAGTTAATTGAACTTATTGGAGGAGGTGAATCTTTGTTTTAATATTAAGTGCTATGTTCAATATGATTTATTCTAAATTAGTTTTTTTTAAATGAGTTTAATCTTCTTGAGTTCCTGTTTAAAATGATTAAGAACTGTGACATGTTTCACTATGAATTTTTGTGTTAATGGAATAATGTTAAATATGAGATTGATATGGGAAAAAAAACTATGAGTAACTTTTAAGAGATTTTGTAGGGGTAGTCTGGCCAGCTGTCTTAAATTATAATGTGTGAGAATTTTCAATAAATGTGTTTATTATGTTTAATATTGTATGTTTCTTTTGTGTATTAATTGTGGTCTACTGTAGGTCACCCATGTGATCCTTACGGAAACATGGTTATTTTATTCGAACCTGGGTATTCATATTCCGGTAGTAGAAAAATCAGTTTTAGTATTGGTGACTATACGATCGGTTTACGGAATTTAATTTGATTTGTTGATTAAACTTCTCAATTGTGAGATTGTATCTTTCCCTGGTGTTTTGAAGAGATCTGTGTTGTATTTGAATTGTTAAGGGTTTAAGGCTATCTCTAGATTTTGTATTGAAATTTATGTGTTTTCAGGTTGGAGATCTAAATTAGTTTTACTTTAGTGAGAGATAGCGTGTTAAAGATTTTGTTGTGGAAGTGCATTTTTCGAATTTTGTTTTGTCAAATAATCGTGTTTCTACCAAAACACCAGGGAGGATATCTTTCTTTGATGTCTCTTAGATTTAAAAGTTTGATTATGTAAGTACTTAGTTTTAGTTTTAGATTAGTTTTTTTTTTTTTTTTTTTTTTTTTTTTTTTTGTCGCGGCACCAAAGAGAAAGTTAGTTAAGAAAGTAGTTAGAATAAATATAAAAGTAAAAAGTAAATTTTTCCTTTTTTTTTACATAACAAATTTATATACATATTTGAAAACTGTGAAAACAGAAATTGAATTGATGACTTATCAGTCATAAGGGCCTCAGTCTGAATATTATGGGAATTAGTATTACCTTAAGCTGCATAATTTTCAAATGTATCAGATATAATTTCATCCTCTAATTTATTTATGTTATTTTGTAAAATACTTAAATTGCATAAATAACTTGTAATCCTTTTAATTACTGATTTTGAACCATCACAAGGTATACTTAATATGTTTGAAACTATAAGTATATCATTTAAAGAAAAATTTTCTTCAGCATACTGTTTGTTTAAAAAACCATCGTCATCTAGTTTAAATGTAAAATCAGTAAAATCCCTGGGTAGCTTTCAGTTCTGAAGGTCGCCTTCATGATGAAATAGAAATTTATAAAGTTACTTAATATTCCCTACTTTTCGATATTTAGAATCAGCTTCTATTTCTTTTATATTCGCTAACTTCATAGTGTAATATATAACAAAAATCAAACTTTTAAAGTTGACTTACTCGTATCAGAAATTTATACCATTTAATGCCATGGTTGAATATCACAATCTGTAAGCACAGCAAGCGATGAAATATGAGTGTTATTCTTAAACACTTATTTTTAATTTGTTTAATCCTGCTTCTGACACCATTTTTGTGGGTTTTTGTCTTGGGCAAAAAAATTACTTCAGTACAGTGGAATATCAAAACACTATTTAATTCAGTGAAGTTCATTATAAAGTTTCTTATACTCATTTTCATACAAGCCATATTCCATTTTATCAGTTTGTTCAACTTTTATAAAAATTTTGAAACCTTTATGGAATTTTGGAGAGTTTATATGTATTCTATTTTGCAATTTTAACACTATATCAGTAATATAAGAAATTTCTTGTGTTTAGTATTTTATTTATTTTACAATTTCTGTACCAAAATCAAAAATTGAAATGCTAAATTTATTGAACTTAAAGAATTATTGACATTGTATAAGTTAGCATGATTCTGTTTTTATATGTCATTGACAAATGTTTGATTTGGTTTACAGGAATTTTGCTAGTACACAGCATAATCTGCATTTATTCTCCAGCAAATGAACCAAAGTATCAATTTGTATATGGTAATTCTCTTATGCTGAAGAGATTAGAAGGTATCAATGTCTAATAGTAATTTTAATGCTTTGCTTTTGTCACAAAGCAATCTGTTTGGGGCCTTCTTCTCTTGTAGCTTATAACTGCTGCTTTATCTGTGTGCATGATGGAAAATGTTCTTGTCTGTTACATTAATTTTTCAGAATGCTTCTACTAACAAACTGCAATTATATCATCCTTGTTTAAATAGGTTTTTGTTTCTACTGTGGTGGTGGTATAGTATTTAAGCAATGTATTCCTGACATTCTTTTATTTTCATTTAAGAATCTCTTGCTGGTTTGCATGAAGTCAAATTCAAATCTAAGAATTCATCTTCTGGAACTTAATAATAATTTATAGAGTTCATTTAATATTTATTATTTAAAAAAATATCATATGGTAATCTTTTATAAAATAAAAATAGATAGTTACAATTTAATGGATATATATATATATATATATATATATATATATATAAAGAAATAAATGTTAATGTAAAGCATAATTATTGTTACAAAGAAGATATGAAGTAAAATTTTGTTCTTTGAAAAATTCAGGGTTCGTACGGTCCTTAAAAGTCCTTAATTTTTTCAAAAATGGTTTTTGGTCCTTAAAAGTCCTTAATTTTGGCCAAAATGAATAAACAGTCCTTAATTTTGCTCATTTGACATTTCTTATCATTTCTAATGATTGCCATTCTAAGTGTGAATTACGATTTCTCATGAATATGGAATTAAAATTACATGGCTCTTAACCAATCTGTTGGCGGATTTGCGTTGCAAACGATAAAAAAAAAAAAAAAAAAAAAAAAAAAAAAAAAAAAAAAACAATTAGCTACCCGAACGTTTATCTTTTTGGAAACCAAAACATTGTAGAAAATATTCTTAGTTTCATATTCAGTTTCCGAAATGCAATCTTCATTGCTTTCAAATATTTCTAATAAATCTCACATGCGCTGCATCTCCAGTTTATAGGAACTCATTCTTTTTACCATAATGCAGTTATAAATTTTTAAGAATTTAATGTCAAGTACTTTAAAATCACTTGCGAGTAGAAATATTTACTGTTACACTCTAGAAATCAATTTCTGAACTAAATATTCAGTCAGAAAAACACTTACACGGACAGGCGCGTGGGGTGTGTCATATCCCAGTTCCAACAAAATACCGATAAATCTTTTTCTGAAACAGACAGGCAAAGAAAAAGCTGTTCTGAAAGTCAACCACAACTAGAAACTCAGCTACTGAAAGCATCACAGAATTTCAGTTTCACAAGTTAGGAATATTCCACTTTTATGTAGGGTTGGGATATGATACACCCCACGCGCCTTCCCGCGGGTTAATTCAAATAGCACTAAATATAATCGTTTGTCCTATTAGTATCATTAACAAAATCTATTTTTAGCATAAGTAAAGAAATTTCTGCTAAATCCCCCTGTCAACATTTTAGCGCATTAAACTTAAATCTGTAATCGGATAATACTCTTGTTATTTGGCGTCGCCGCATGATTCATCTCTCAAGTTGTCATCTGTTGATAAACATGCGGTGATGAAAGCAAAATACAATAAATAATGATTCGAGATTTCGGCATCAAGGATATAAAATATTAGTTGGTGTAAAATTAACAAATGTTTCGGTTTGAGATTATGCCAAGCAGATACGCAGCTATGGAGTCAAGTTACTAATCACACAAATTTATGCTAAAATAATTATTTCTTCAATAATGAGATATTTTATTTAGTGCCAAACTGAGATTAAGAATTGGGATTTCCGGCATGTTTTTTTATGATGAGGAACAAAATCTAATGCGCATGCATAAAGCATACCCCTTCCCTTCAAAAAAGCCCTAAAAAATTGATTGGTGGTGGCTTTGAGGTCCGGATTTTAGATCATTCCAGATATTGGATGTCCGGATCTCGGACTTTGTACTATATATATATATACATCTTTCAAAATATAACTTACCAGTATGGATTCATTCTTTTAAAATAATTCTACTTTAATTAAACTTAGGAGATAATATAATCAATTAATCAATATTGTTTAGGAAATAATTATATATATATATAGTAAAAAATGTATATTTTCACTATTCAAGTATTCACTGTGACAAGTTTTCTTATCTTGTCACATGAACAGGCCTCTGTGGAAAGGGGCTTCTCTGTAAATAAAGCAATTGAAATTGAAAATTTAAGTGACTCATCATACATTTTTCAACACACAGTATTTGATTACATAAAATTTTCTGGAGGTGTTCTTAATATCAAAATTAATAAAGAAATGAGATCAGCAGCAGCTTCTGCAAGAAGTGGAGTTCGTTATTTAGAAGTTCAGTATTTAGAAGAACAAAAATCTTTAACTAAATCTGAAAATTTAAAGAGGAAAAGAAATATTATTGAGGAAGAAATTGATTATATGAGAAGCAGAAGAAAAATTTCTTCAAAGGGGACATTAAAGATATTAATGAAGAAGTAGATGTTTTAGCAGATGAAGCTGAGACCAGCAGGAACATTGATTTGTTTATCAAAGCAAATGAACTTAGAAGAATAGTTAAAGAAAAGGAAATAGACATAAATAAATTAGATGTTAAATAAAATAGCTGAAAAGATTTCAGATTTAAAAAAAGCACAAATGTTTTGTATCTTTTATTGTACAGTTTATTATTCTAGTATCTTTCAAAAAACCAAGGAAATAAATTGTATGTTTACAAATCAGTTATTTTAATCTGCAAAATATTCATACATTGTGATTATAATAGTAGTTGACTGTGTTTAAATAAATATCAAATAAGTTAAATAATAATCATGTAAATCTCTAAAATAGTGACTGTTATTAGTGTAAAATACACTTATACATGTTTTTCAAGAAATTCTGTTCCTAATTAATGTTATCTGCTTCATAACTTGTAGGGAGTTAATTTAATTTTCAAAATTGTTTTATGGTAAGTATTAAATTGAATTTAATAATAGTGCATAATACACACTTCTGTTAGTTTCTTAAAGTGAAATTACAAGCATGAAGTCAGTTGTATGGATAATTGCTTTAATCTATTCATTTTTTTGTTTGCTGATAGGTCCTTAATTTTTTCTTTGATGGTCCTTAAAAGTCCTTAATTTTCATGTAAGGAAATGTGTACGAACCCTGAAAATTATATTTAATTTTTATTGCTGTTTGTTAAATTGACCCTTGTTACGAAGTTAATTCATTTAAAAAAAATTCTTTTAATTTTTGTAATTTTCTGTGCTTAGAGTATCAAAGAAGAATGCCAGGATTATAAAAACATACCATTAAAAATTTTTAAATATATTGAAGTGACTTGAGTGTAGCTGTAAGTTTTTCAAAGCTTATTTCATATATTATTGAATTAAAACATTTGCTTTCACACCTTGAAACCATATTTGATCTTTTTTAAGTGAGATGAGTAACAGAGTTCCAATTGTTGTAGTTGCTGTGGGAATATATTTAATTTATATAATTCATTTACAGCTTGTGATAGTTTCAAGTTCAGATCAATAATTGCTGCAATATTGTAAAGCTTAGTTTTCAGTTTAACAAAATATTCAATTCAGGACTGTAGACAAGAACAGACCATAGAAAAACCTTTTATTTGGCAAATATTCTTTAAATTGTTGATAAGTATAGGGTTTTGAATTCTTATGTATATTCTAGGTTTAGGTTCATACAATTACCAGTCAGCCAATATGACAAATTATCTCTCAGAAAATGGTAGAGGAGTATGTGGCATTGTTTTCATCAGGTACAATGAACTGTTTATCATTGTTCTTTCAGATAATAACCTGAGAAAAACAGCTATATCATAATCAACATAATCAATATTCTTTTAGGTATGAGATTACTTAGAGCCACAACATTTCGTGGGTAGTCAGCCAGATGCATGTTAATCGTGACGAACTCCTGCTTAGGCTGCAGTTACCGGTTTTCTCGGGAATGTTCTCGAAGGCAGGTCGAAAGCTATTTATACCCTGTCTGTACACAAAGTATCTTGAGTAGTAGTATAGTATGTTGAGTTCAGTAGTAGTGTCTTGAGTTCAGAGATTAACTCGAGAGTGATCAACCAAGTCAGGAGCTATGTGTTAGTGCTTTGCATGAAGCCATCTTCACCGTTATAGCCTGAAGACTGTATTGCTGATTGTTTCAGCATGTTTGTTGTAGTTTTTCGACAGCTGTAACCACAGATTTAGACTTGATAAGGCCATAAGCTATTTGAGATTGTGGGGCCCTTTATAAGTCTGTTATAACATATTTTAATACTATTTATACTATATTTTAATTTTGGGGGGACTCTCAAGAAAGTAGGGGCCCTAAGCTACAGCTTGTGTAGTTTATACATAAATCTGGCCCTGACTGTAATGTGCCTTTGGTACTCTTGTGTGTAATACTGGCGAATAAATTGTGTTTTGATGCTTCATCAAGTGTTGTCGTCAATTATTCCAAATCCATGAATTCTTAGAATGTAACAATATTTACATTTTTATTATTGCAAGAACATGAAACAAAATAAACATTTGTATGCTTCTATATGCACTGCAAAAAAATACATTTTGCTATTATATAACTCATAAATGTGTTTTCATTTTTATTCATATGTAATGCTAGATTTCTGAGTATGAGATGTTAAAGCTTGCAAGAGGCACAGGGCCATTGCCAGAGCATATGCAGATAATATGGCTGCACCGGGTGACAGAATTTAGGGGTGGCAAAATTTTTAGAATTTTGAAAGGAACTGGGTGGCAGAATTTTGAAGTTGTTGAGTTTGCACCAGGCGATGAAACGTCTAGCACCCTGAACAGGCATATAAAACTGAGAGACATGTTCATTATAATTTTCAAAAATCAATTATTAATGACTGCATGAACTTATTTTTTTATTGGGGGGGGGAAGAGGAGAGAGAGAGACAACAAATCCATTATATTGATTTCTAAGGTTTCTCACAAAATGTTGAGCATTTAGGTACAGAAAATATTAACATTATTTTGTGGCCAATATTGATACTTCTTTCATTTTATGACCAATACATGTATAATACATGAGGTGTAAGACAAATGAGTGAAGATTGCAATGCTGCTTATTTATACACTGATTGTTTGTGAAGTAAATATATCATGAGTTTTCTTTTTCGGAGAATGACTTCATTCAAGACATTTATAATTTTTATTTACATATTAGCAAAATTTAAGGTATTGATATTTTTAAAGATTTATTGAAAAAAATAGAAAGAAGTTATTTGAAACAAATATGAAAAATGTTGTACACAATTCATAAAATTATTATTTCTGACAGTTTGATATAGAAAATTGAAGTTTTCTATAATTTTATGTTGAATAGATGTGTTAAAATGCAATTACAAAAGTATCAATAAATATTGTTTGTGAAGTAAATGTATCATAAGTTTTCTTTTTCGGGGAATGACTTCATTCAAGACATTTATAATTTTTATTTACATATTAGCAAAATTTAAGGTATTGATATTTTTAAAGATTTATTGAAAAAAATAGAAAGAAGTTATTTGAAACAAATATGAAAAATGTTGTACACAATTCATAAAATTATTATTTCTGACAGTTTGATATATAAAATTGAAGTTTTCTATAATTTTATGTTGAATAGCTGTGTTAAAATGCAATTACAAAAGTATCAATAAATATTGTTTGTGAAGTAAATATATCATAAGTTTTCTTTTTCGGGGAATGACTTCATTCAAGACATTTATAATTTTTATTTACATATTAGCAAAATTTAAGGTATTGATATTTTTAAAGATTTATTGAAAAAAATAGAAAGAAGTTATTTGAAACAAATATGAAAAATGTTGTACACAATGTTGTTCATAAAATTATTATTTCTGACAGTTTGATATATAAAATTGAAGTTTTCTATAATTTTATGTTGAATAGATGTGTTAAAATGCAATTACAAAAGTATCAATAAAATTTTATTTTATTCTGAAACTAAAACATTATTGAGCATTCAGTATTTTTAATTTAGATATTTTTCTTTCAGGCCTTATATCATGTTTTTATGCAAGACTTCTGGTCACTGGTTGGAGCTGTTGTAAGCGCTTCACTCATTCCTGAGAGGTGGTTGCCTGGGAAATTTGACTATGCATTTAATAGCCACAATATAATGCATGTGTTGGTTGTTCTAGGTGGCTTGCATATGCATTGGGCTATGGAGAAAGATTTCCAGTGGGTTTCTGAAAACCAGTGCTCTAAATAAACATGCCTTACAGCAGAGTTTCAAGTTGACATAATTACTTTAGAGCTTTTTTTAAATTTGTTACTTTAAATCCTCTATGTCCACCTGTCACTGAGGTATGAATGGAAAATAATTATTTCCTTCGTATAAATATTGAATGCAATTGAACTATTGAAACATAGAAGTACATTTAAAATATCTTTGTTTTCTCCCATAATTGTAAAGTGCAACATAACTGCTGAAATCTGGCATGCTATGTTAAATAGTTAAAATACTCAATGATTTATCCTAGAAAGAAAAATACTATAAAAGAAGTGTGGAAAGCTTTCTTATTTTTCAGTACTGTTTAATCTGAATTGATAAAAAAATATTGAATAAAATGGATACTATAACGTTGTTTATGTAACAAATACTTAATGATTTATTGTATGCAGAAAAATTTTGAAAGTTTATATATTTATACTGTTACCTACATAATATCTTAAAACAAATAAAATTTTTTAAATACAAGAAGTTATAAACTTTGGGTGATATTGAGTCGCTACGTGAAATTTCTTTGTTTCATGTGCAAAAATTATCATAATACAAAAGATTAAATATCTTGTTAAATACCATTAAAGTAGAAATTTATTAATTTGGTGGAAGTTTAGTATAAGTGCTTATTGATTTAAAAATAATCTGAAGGTTGTATGTTTAAATTATCTTCTGACATTAAAAAACAACTTTTGAAATAATAATAAAAAATAACTCTTAAAATAATAATAAAAGGTAATCTTAAATTAACTCTAAATAATAAGGTTATTTTCTTTTTTATGGGATCTGTGGTGAAAAAGATTTGCATAGAGAATAAATAACCATATTTGAAATTAAATGAAATGTGGCCTTTGTGGAGTCTTAAATCTTTTTACTAAGTTTCTATTATTTGCACAGATAAATATCTTTGACAGTCAACTTGATAATGACTTATTGTACTTATTGTTCCATTTATATAAGTTACTTATCTATGTTTTTTAGCCCATTTCTTTCCGCCCTTTTAATGTCTGTCTTCCGGTTGAGAACTCAGCCTATCATGCTATTTTAATTTGCACTTTTTCTGTTTTCCTTTTTCTTTTGGGAAAATCATTTAGCTTCCAGAATTTACTCACTTGATAGACGATTATATAATCTGAATTCTTTTGGATTTTCCCTTTCTGATGCAATATAGTTTTAAGTAATCTTGATGTGAGCATGTGCATTTGTAAAGAACTAAATGTACTTCTTTTCTTTCAAATGTTCCTTAATGTTGTTCTTGGAATTCCTTAATGTTGAACAATAAAATTGTCTTATATTTTGCTGTTTTAAACAAAATGTTATAATTTGATAATTAGAGATAAGTTAAGAATTGCAAATCAGCTAACATTAAGGACTTTTGAGGATTTTCCTCCTTACATTACAGTAAAAGAATAGTGTTCAAATGATATAGTAAAAAGAATTAGTTGCATTTTTGTGAAACTGATGGGGAAAATTGAATCTGTGACACTTTTAAAGTTATAAATATTTTATTTAATTTCGTGCAGATTATTTCTGTATTAAAAAGTATTTAAAAATTATGTTAGAAAAAGATATATGCCATGAATATTAATGGAATTGCTTTAAATTCTCTTTCGAAGTCACTCAGCAACCTTGCTTAACCTCTTATTTTAATCAATTCTTAGAAAGGCATAATTAGGCTTATTTTTATATTTGTATGCACTCACAAACACATGCTTTTAAAGAAATGTATATAGATATAAATACATATTTTGAGCACACTTTCATGACCAATTTTTAATGCATTTTGTAATGTTAAAGTCTTATTTAAATTCCATTTGATTTTTTTTTTTCAATGGCGGGCACTAGCTGTTAAAGGCATTGGCCGCATAATAAGGCTTTAATTGATGGTCACTTTATTATGGAGGCACCTAACAAGTGGGCAACCATTGCCTCCTGTGAAAGGGCAGGCAGTTTACATCCATGCCTTCTCTGGGATTCAAACTGTGCCCTTCAGTTTGGCAGTCCGAGTCGGTAATCACTTTCCCTTCCGGGCAGCTTTGCCAGTGCTAAGACCGGAAGCGGTAGTCAGTTTATTATGGAGGCACTTAATGGGTGGGCCGCCATCGCTTTCTGTGAATGGACAGACAATTTACAACCATGCCTTCACCAGGATTCAAACCCGGGCCCTTCAGAACAGCAGAAGTCATTGACCACTTTTCTATTTGGCGGCATTCCATTTGATCTTGTTTGGACTATTTATTCTGAAACTTATTAGGGCTTTCTACTAGCTACTTTAGGTCTTACCTATTTATAAAGTGTTTTTATTCTCTGTTTTATAAATTTCTCTTGCAAAAGCTATGATTCTATTTTAAATTAGAATTTAAAATCTGATTCAGTTCCTTAAATTTTCATTCATTCAATACATCCAAAAAATTTGATAGAATTTTGAAAGGCAGAATTTTGCTGTGTAAGATTTATGGATTACTGTAATTGTCAAGAAAGGTGAACATATGTATTATTCTTAATCCAAATTTAAGGCATTCTAATTCAAATTTATAGTTCAACAGATTTTTTTATTTGCAAGATAAATTTGCAAAGCAGTATTGTTTATTTGAAAGCTCTAACTAAAGATGCAACTTGTTAATTTGAAACTCTGCCATACTATCATTGCACAAGAGTATCTATATACATATATATCAATATGTCTATATATATACTTTTTCATTATATTTATGAGACATTCAACAGTCACTAGCCCACAGTATAAATCAATTCCTTCCATATACACTAAGCACATATTGTGTTTTAGAGATTTATTTTTAATGTACTGTGAGATTTTATTTAACTTTTTACAATTCGTATAATGTCTGACAAATCGTAAGTTGTAACTTTTATTTCTGTTATGTGTATTTTATTTGTAATGTTACTCTGAAAAGTTCATTTTATTTTTAGAGTATATGCATAAAAAGTGTATGATATAAAAATATAATGAAAAAATCTTTTTTGAAATAGTAAGCTTCATGTTGCTGGACTGTTCTCCGAAACTTGGCCTTTTCTTATATTGCTGATGATAGTGATGAAAAATATTTAATAAACACTTATTACATTTTAAAATGTATAATTGTATAATTTTATTACTTAATTTTCAGTATTTTTTCTTTTATTTATTATTGCTTGTTTTTCACTATTGAAAAAGGATTTATGGCTTAAATATAAACTAAGATTTTAAATTACATTTCTTTATGTTTCAACTGCAGACAATTTTATAACAAATTATAAAGTGTTTGAAGTTTTTAATATTGTTTATTATTTACATGAAAGTTTATCTTCTTGTGTCTATAAATGTATATGCTAGGTAAGCCAAGTTCTTATTCTGCATATTTAAAGCTATTGCAACAGTATTTTTTAAAAAAAAATTTCAATTTTTTAATTAAAAAAATTACCATTTTAAATTACTGGACCAAGTAAATGGATATAATATTGATTTGTTTAGAAAGTTCTTCTGTCTAAAAAAAATACTAATAGATACTTTTGCATTGCATAATTCTTTGTCAAAATCACTATTCTAGAAAATATGGTATTCTCCCTTTTTAACAGTACATGCTTTGCACTTTTATTTAATGCAATGGTTAAGGCAAAAACAGGCTAGAACTTAACCTGGTTTGAGAACAAGAGCAAAAATTTGGTTGACAGATTGAGTTCTTTCATATTTCTGTGAGTAGTGTACATGGCCATTTTTCTGTTCATATCAAAATATAATATTTTATTTGCATCAAAGCATCAGCTTCTCAGAGTAACACTTGTATGTGGGGACAAAGCTAACCTAAGAACTCTAGAAAAGTTCAGACAGCTGGTTTACTCTTTGTAACATATATATCTTCAATCTAAGCATTTTTTAGAAAAGTGTTGTACTACATTTAGATATTTATTGCAATTTCATTCACTTAGTATAAAACTTGGATTTGGCACAGATTGGCTTTTTTATCATTTTATATTTATCTCTGTGAAACAGTGGAGGTAGTTGTAATAACAAATTAATTTTTTTAAATGGAACATCTATTTTGGAACTTTTTTTACTTTATAATTTTACAAAAATATTCGAAATAACAATCCATCTAGTTTCGTTTTTTCTCAGCCTTTTAACATGCTGTGTAAATGCTTGTAAATTGGTTGGAAGGAAGACATAAGCAATCCATATACAGAGTCATGACTTTCAGGCTTCACTTTAGTATCAAAAGGCTTAAAAAATAAAATTGCACACACAATTATTAATACAGTTTATCCATAAAAAGCTCCAAAAATTAAAATTCAGTTTCATACCAAAACATTTTTAAAAGTTTTGTAGGGTTGTTTTAATATCTAAAATGAATTAACCACTAAATTAAACCAATAATGTAATTATTTATTAATGAACTCTCTTCTTATAGTATCAAAATAATAAAATATTGTATAAAACTGAACAAATACAAATTTTGAAGTTCTTTAAAGACTTTTTGTGATGAATATTTTCCTCAGAAATATATTGCATGTCAATACATACTTTGTTCCTTTCCAAGTTCTTTAAGTTTAACCTTGATCTAAATACAATTTCAGATGCTGATCGAAAAGTGTCCCAACTCTATAATTCTTTGATGTCTGGTATTAGATAAAAAAAAATTGATATAGATCATTAAAAATTATTGATGGAATTTTAGATGGTTATACTTGTTATAAAGAAATCAAGTGTTCAACTTTAAAAATTTTAATAGAACATATAAAATAACTCAGTTTATCTAAACTTTGATTTCGCTGGCACACTACTTTGAAAGGTCAGTTTACAATTTAAGATGTGGGGATGTGAGTAATATACAACAGAATGAAAAGAGTGGGGGAATATATAAATATCATTCAAATAAATTTTGTATGATTATATATAATTTCTTATTAAAATTCCTTTTAACTAAGAGAAATAAATATTCATCTAAAATGGTTTATTTAGGCTTGAATTTCTTTTAAAGCTATTGCTAAAGAAAGTTGGATTAAAAAAATAGATTTTGGAAACCTAGATCACAGTGTATGATTAGTGTATGAAACTAAAGCATAAAATCTTCATGCATAGAGCAATGTGTATAGTATGCAAAATAATTCAATTAGATTTATTATTTTTAATAATAACCTAGTTATTACACACTTGAAATTTGAAGCACACAGAAACTGTACTTGCTCTTTAAATTTACTATTGAAAGATTTAAATATGCATGTTTATAGTTATTAGAAAAAAAAGAAAAAAACTAGCATTGATAAGCATTATTAATGGAAATACTCACATATTGAATCAATGGTAAAATTTTTAAAGCATTTTTCTGTAAGAGAAACTAATTTCTTTTCAATGTTTTAAACATAAATATTCATATGCAAGTATGCATAAGTTTTTATATTTTTGTTTTTGTTTCTAATTTTATTTTAAAGTTAAATTTTAAGCAAATTTGCCATCACAACTGATAAAAATGTTGTTTATTCTTGCAGCAGAGGTATTTAAAATTATGTGTAGACTATTATACAGAGATATAACATACTTGAAAACTTATAAGTACTCAGTTTAAATGTAAACCAAATGGAAATTAATATTTAAGATGAGTTTTTAAATATTATGTAATGCCAAATATATATGTTATGAAAGTGAAAAAAAATTGGCTGTGAATGTGCATTTAAAAAGATTAAAATTAACTTATTTTATTACCTGAACTCTTATTAACTTATTTATGAATGGTCTTTAAAATTTTTTCAAAAAATGTGCAGTGCTGTGTTTTCTAATCAACGGTCATTAGAAACATGAATTCCTGAAAGAAAATGTTAAAAACTAATATGTGCACAATAGATGAATGCAAAATAGGTTTTTTTTAAATATTTTTTAATATATATGTATATGCAAAATATTCTTTTCTTTCAGAGTCATTAAAAAACATTTAGTATATTGTTCGATCCCAATATTTCAGTAAAAGAAAGGATAACATCATAATAAGTTATAATTTTCTAGTTACCTTTAATTTAAATACAGTAGTGCCCCATATCTGTGTGTAATATAATTCAAGATTTACTAAAGATGTCTAAAAGCATGACTAATAGTGAATGCTGTTTAAAATAAGATATTTCTCTCTATATAAATACAGTTAAGTTTAATTGATAAACTATGCAAAGCAAGGCTTTCAGTGTTAAATAAATTGCACTGCACATATATATTATGCATTATATTGTTAAATAAAATAATGCAAAATGTATTGTACTAATAATGTACTCTTTTTCGTGTAATATATATGAAACTAAGGGAATCTAACATTAAAGCCTAAGCCATGGAAGAAAGTGAAAAATGAAAAAAATACATTTTCTATATTGTACCCAATAATGTACTATTTCAAGGGACTGTAGGAACAAAAATCATTCATTTTCATGGCTTTATATCTATGCTTGCAATTTCCAGGTGCTAGCTTATATTAATACTCTTATTCTTTGGAACTATTATTTAGATAAATGAATCTCTATGAGTATGTAGCAATAGTGAGAATTGCGAGCACATTAAAAACAGAATGTAACTGAATTTAAAATTGTGAAAGAAAAATTCTTTTATTGTAAAAGGTTAAAAATGGAAGTATATTTTCTGACTACTAATATCTGTGATCCGCAACCAGTATATCAAAATGTAGCATCAGTTAAGAAATGCAAATAGCTGAAGAGTCTCCTGTAACTCAAAAACACTCATAAGCAATAATGATTTCCATTTCACTGGGTTAATTACATTGTAAGAAATAAACTTGCAGGTGCATGAACTGATATGGAAAGATAGGCACTATGCTTCACTTCTTTACGTATGACCTATTGTCACTTGACAAAGATGGTATATTTACTTTCGGCTCTTTTATTGTAAATCATGGATATAGGGGCATGACTGTATAGCTAAAACCTAAATTGCGTTTTCATTGTTTTTTGCTCTAAAAAACATTAATATTTTATCTGTAAAGAAAGTTTTTGTGAGATGTAGTTTTAAATGATGATATTTTCTAAGTGAATCAGATCATGCTCATTTAATACGTAAATTTCAGTCTGCAATTGTCAGAGACTTAAAGGAGTAAATTGAGGTTTTAATTTTAAAATGTCAAAGACCATTTCTAGAATTAAGTGCCAAGATAATTTGCTACTGATACATGTCAGTCGTAGTATAAGAAAGCAGTAGTGTACACACTAGCTGTTTAATTATGTAAGCTTTTTTTTTTTTTTTTTCCAAAATAAAGTCCCCATCATGGATTGATGTTCATCTCATTAATGTATTAAATGGCAATAATATTCAAATATAAACTTTTCTAATTGTCGTTGTTATATGTGTATGTTTTTCTGATGTTCTGTAAAAGTACTTGATTTTAATTTAATATTTTTTCATATTATTAATTCATATTTATTCATACATTTTAATAATTATTAGTCATTTTAAAGTCAAACTATATGCATCTAATTAAATTCATAAAATTAGATTATAACATTTATTTTTTTCTCAAGATCTTATACAAGTTTTCTAGTTATATCGATAGAATTACTTGTATTGAGATAAAAGTATAGCTTTTATCAAAATCTGAATTTTTTTATTCATGTGATTAAGTTAATTCTGTCTTAAAATAATAGATTTTGTAGAAAATTAAGAATTCAGTAAAAAGAAACAATAATAAAATACAAAACATAGTTCCATGTATTTTATAAGTATGCCTGTGACATATCTTCTTGTATAGGGATCATATTTTGATACATTTGTAAATGTCTAACTTTTTGAATGAACAGTCTGGCTATTTCTCATTAAAAATTTCTCAAGTCCTATTGCTACATTCTGTGTAATGATGTATACAAATGCAATATAAATTCATTTACTGCACTACAAAAATAGATTTTCAGAACAAAAGAATTGATAAAAAGTAACAAAAAGATTGATAAAAAGTACGCAAAAGAATTGATAAAAGTCCCTGAAATTGCGACAATATTTTCTTATAATTTTCAACTCTGTAAAACACATTAGTAAATGAATATTATTTTGTTTGGTCACTGTTCTAATACTGGTCTGTAACTATAACTAAAATAATAATATTACCCTCTTT